TTTGGATGATCCTCTGGGGCACAGGGTGGGACTGTGGGGATGGGTCTGTGCAGGGCTGAGGGTTGGACTGGATGGTCCTTGTGGGTCCCTTCCAACTTGGCATATTCTGGGATTCTGGGATCTCAGCCTCCTCCAGCTCTCACCTGTCTCCAGGTGCATCCAGCAGGTGTGGGGGGGTTATGGCTGTAACCAACAGGGAAACATTTGGCATGGATTCAAGGGTGTGGATTCAAGGGCATGGATTTAAGGGTATGGATTCAGGGGTATGGATTCAAGGGTATGGATTCAAGGGTGTGGATTCAGGGGTATGGATTCAAGGCTATGGATTCAAGGGCATGGATTCAAGGGCATGGATTTAAGGGTATGGATTTAAGGGCATGAATTTAAGGGTATGGATTTAAGGGTATGGATTCAAGGGTATGGATTCAAGGGTATGGATTCAAGGGTATGGATTTAAGGGATTTAAGGGCATGAATTTAAGGGTATGGATTTCAGGGTGTGGACTTAGGGGTATGGACTCAAGGGTGTGGATTCAAGGGCATGGATTCAAGGACATGGATTTCAGGGAGTCATGCCCAGGCAGAAATGAAGTTTGCATCGAGGCCACCCCACGGAAAGCAGGCCAGGCCCAGCGGGAAGAGCTCCGTGGATTGTCCCGCCCTCCCTCCCTCACGTGCCCTTGTTTCCCGTGGCAGAGTCTCCCCTGTGGCCCAAGGAGAAGGTGGATGTGATCGAGGTGGATGAAGGGGCCCCTCTGAGCCTGCAGTGCAACCCCCCCCCGGGGCTGCCCCCGCCCGTCATCTTCTGGATGAGCAGCTGTGAGTGGGGAACCCCCTTCCCACCCCCTGCAGGGCTCCCCACGACCCTCTTTAGGGTCCCTGCTGCTGGTTTAAGGCAGTTCCTGCTGGTTTAGGCTGGTTTCTGGTAGTTCAGGCCAGCTACTGCTAGTTTAGGGTTGTTATTGATAGTTTAGGGCAGTTCTGATCGTTTAGGGTACTTTCTGATAATTTAAGATAGTCTCTGTTAGTCTGGGGTTGTTACAGCCAGTTCAAGGCAGTTTCTGCTAGTTTAAGGTCATTATTGCTAGTTTAGGGTTGTTCCTGCTAATTAGGGCTGTTACTGCTAGTTTAGAGTAGTTTCTGCAAGTTTAGGGTCTTTACTGCTGGTTTAGGGCATTTTTTGCTAGTTTAGGGCAATCGCTGATAGTTTAGGGCAGTTGCTGCTAGTTTAGGGTTGTTTCTGCTAGTTTAGGGTCTTTACTGCTAGCTTAGGGGAGTTTCTGCTAGTTTAGGACATTTTCTGCTAGTTTAGGACATTTTCTGCTAGTTTAGGGTAGTTTCTGCTAGTTTAACGTAGTTGCTGCTAGTTTAGGGCAGTTGCTGCTAGTTTAGGACATTTTCTGCTATTTTAGGGCAGTTTCTGCTAGTTTAGGGTTGTTTCTGCTAGTTTAGGCTCTTTACTGCTAGTTTAAGATAGCTTCAGTTAGTTTAGGGCAGTTGCTGCTAGTTTAGGGTTGTTCCTGCTAGTTTAGGGTCTTCATTGCTAGCTTAGGACATTTTCTGCTAGTGTAGGGCAGTTGCTGCTAGTTTAGTGTTGTTTCTGCTAGTTTAGGCTCTTTACTGCTAGTTTAAGGTAGTTTCTGATAGTTTAGGGCAGTTTCTGCTAGTTTAGGATAGTTTCTGCTAGTTTAGGGTTGTTCCTGCTAGTTTAGGGTTGTTCCTGCTAGTTTAGGGTTGTTCCTGCTAGTTTAGGGTCCTCACCCTGGTTCAGAGCTCAGAGACCCCCCCCCTGCCCTGGGGTCGGGCAGGAGCCCCCGGCCCTGCCTGAGTGCCCGCTGTGCCCACTGTGCCCACAGCCATGGAGCCCATCCAGCAGGACAAGCGAGTGTCCCAGGGGCAGAACGGGGACCTTTACTTCTCCAACGTGATCCTGCAGGACGCCCTGACCGACTACAGCTGCAACGCCCGCTTCCACTTCACCCACACCATCCAGCAGAAGAACCCCTTCACCCTCAAGGTGAAAACCAGTAAGTGTCACGGGGCTGGGGCTCCCCTTGGCCAGGGTTTTCCTCCCAGACACCTCAGTCCTGTCCTTGGCACCTCCTTTATTTATTTAGGACGGCACAGGAAGGGGTTTGGATGAGGGGTGATAGTCCTTGGGGGGCTCCTCTGGCAGGGAGGGGGGGCTGGTTCCCCTCCAGCAGCTTCTTGGTGCAGGTATCCCTAAATCCACGTGTCTGGGATGAGCTGGGAAGGGTCCAGCACAGGTGGGGTGTTCCCACAATCCGCAGGGAAAGGTGAAATCCTGGGGGATCGTTCCCCCTTTGAGGAGCTGGAAGTGGAGCTGGACGTGGCCTCCCTTTGCTCCAGGTTTGGCTCCAGGGGCTGGTGCTGCCCCGAGGGTGGGGAGCTGAGTGTGTGCCAGCCTTGCCCAGCTCAGGGTGTCCCTGCCCAGCTGCTCTTTGGCTCCTTCCCTCTGGGAATGTGCTGGCAGGGGCCACGGAGCCCTCGGGGGGTGACCCTGGGCGATCCCGGTGTCCCCACGGGAGGAGCATCACCCTGGGGCACACCAGGGGCACACCCAGGGCTCTCTGCAGAGCAGGTCCAGCCTCCAGTGGCTTCTGCTCCACAAAGGAGGTTGTTTGAAGGACAAGGAGCTCCTGGTGTGCTGTGGGGCCGCTGGCAGAGGGGACTGAGCTGAGGCTGCTGAGTTGCTGCGGGTCCTGCAGAGCACGGGCTCTGTTTTGGGGGGGTGGGAGGTGTGTGCAGAGCACCAAAAAAATCAGCAGCCAATATAAACCCATCCTCTCTTGGCCCCAGTCATCAGCCAGGAGCCATCACCCCTTCCCAGTGAGGTCCAGCCGGGAGGCAGAGGGTGCTGGCTGTGTTTTGGGGGGGCAGAGCAAGCACGAGGAGCTCCTGGCTGCCAGTGGTGGGAGTTTAATTTGATCTCCCAGCAGCTCAAATCAGCAGGAATTGCTGTTAAAGGGACCTCAGCCAGGGCCTGGGGGGGATTTACACCTCCTTGTGACAGCTTCTCCTCTGTGCAGAGCTTGAGTAGAGACCCAGCAATTGAAATCCTCCAGCAGGCTCTCTGCCAGCAGGTCCTTAACTCTGAATATTATTTGCCTGTTTACAGAGCTGGGCAGAGAATCCCAGTGCTCACCTGTTGGGGAAGGACTGAGCCCTGGATTGGTGTGAGCTGGGAAATCCTGGCAAACCAGGATCTGGGGTGGTTTGAGCCTCCAGAGGCTCCAGCCTGGACAGATTTGTGCAGGTCCAGGAGCGATGTGGGTGAAACCCTGGCAGGTTTTTGTGTGCCCACAGCCACGAGCTCCCCCTCCTGCTGCACTCAGGGGCCACCACTTCACTCCCAGGATGTGGAGAATTGGGCCCTCTCTCCCAGTTTTCCTCAGGACACATCTGCTGTGTGATCAGATGCAAATTCCACCCCGGGAGCCCCCCAGAGCTCTCTTTGTGGTTTCCAGAACTCAGGCTCTGATTTCTCACCTGTCACTACAGAAAAAAGTGGTTTATATTTACATTGTTCAAAGGGGCTGAGCTTGAATTTATCTCAAGCTCTTTGATCGTCTCAGCCTCCAGCCAGGAGCTCTGGCTCCTTAAAAAAAGGTGCTGGAAAATCATGGCATGGGAGTGCCATGGGATGCAAGAAGAGGAGAATGGAAAGGCTGCAGGGAGGGAGGGATCCCTCTGTGCATTGTTTGGTGGTGGATCCAGGTCCAGGCAGCTCTTGGGGCTCTCTTAACCCCCTTTTGGGTGCTGATGTGAGCTGGGAAGGGCAGATCCTGCAGTGGGCTCAGGTCAGGATGATGAATCCCCCCACTCCTCTCAGAGGGGTGATTATTCTTCATAGGTGAGGGCTCGTGCTGGGTGCCCATAAACAAGAGCAGCATCTTATTGAGGAGCTGGAACACAACCTGCTCTCCTTACCTTGTCATTAAAAGGGATTTTATAGCAGGTTATGCTTTTAGAGCATTATTATTATTATTATTATTATTATTATTATTATTATTATTATTATTATTATTATTATTATTTTGATTTGTTCACCTTTCCTCATCACCACACCACTGCCCAGCTGTGCCCAACCCCTGGCTGTGCCCAACCCCTGCCCAGCCTCTGCTTCGTGCTGGGGGAAAAAGCAGCTGGAAGACGATTTTCTTTGTGGTTAAGAAACTGAGAGGAAAAAAACCAAACATCTCCTTGTTTGTTTTTTTTTCTAAAAGCTATTTTGTTTCTTTTAAAAGACAGGAAGGCGCGGAGCAAAACACACTTCTAGGAAATGTTTACCCTGTGATTTTCACGCGCAGTTTAGTTGCCTTCCCACCTGGCAGGAGGAAAAACAACCCCTCTGTGGCCCTGTTTGTCCCGGAGGGCAGCTGTGCTTCTGTCTCCCTGCCCCTGCCTGTCGCTCCTGCCTGCGGGGAGGTTGTTCTGTCCCCTGTCCTGCTGTCCCCCTCTCGCTTCGGGGAGGTTGTTCCGTCCCTGTCCTGCCTCCTGCCCGTCCCCCCCTCGCTTGGTGCCCCTGGAGTCGCTCACAGTGTTTTGTTTATTGCAGAGAAGCCCCATAACGAAACGTCTTTACGAAATCACACTGACATGTACAGTGGTGAGTCAAGCCCGGCTTGTGGAGCCCCTGCTCTGGTTTAACCTCCCGCCTAACCCGACTGACCCCGCACTAACCGGGCCCTCCCCGGCCCCTCGGGGGGTTGTGCCCTCGGCTTTGCCAAAGAAATAGGGACACAAAACGAGCCAAAGCCCCCCTGGAAGCTTTCGCCCTTTCCAATGAGCGAGGTTTTTAAGCTAATGAAGAGGATCTGCAGAGCCCCAGCTCGGGAGGTGTTGGGGTTAAGAGGATCTGAGCGAGCCCGGGGTTGCTCCCTCCGTGTCTTGGCCTGGGCAAAAGGCTCATGATTTAAAGATCAGACCCCCTGTCCCCCTTCTGGGTGTCCTCAGAAAGAGCAGCTCCAGAAAGAGCAGCCCCAGGAAGAGCATCTCGTGGATTTGCAGCTAAAACCAGGCAGTGACTGGGAGAGGAAAAACAAAAGGAAAAAAGGGAAAAAAAAGAGGAGTATTTGGTTTTCTTGGAATCTGGGAGCTTTGTTTGTGTGCTGAGAGGTTGGACATGTGCTAGAGGCTTTCCCGAGGCTCCTGCCCTTTTGTTCTGGGCAGGGAATTCCCTCTGGGTCCTGCCTCTGTTGGGAGAAGCCCATCCCAAACTCATCAGTTTTGCCTCCCCTGGGGCGGGGTCGCTGCCCCGGGGCTGGATTGGAATTGTCACATGGATTGGAATTGTCACATGGGTTGGAATTGTCACATGGATTGGAATTGTCAGGGATGTGATGGGATAATGTGGGAGATGGGGCTGGGTTGGGTGATGCTGAGAGCCCAGGCAGTGCCAGGGATGTGAGCACCCCACCAAAGCCCCCCAGCTCGGGTGCTGCCATGGGGCAGGACTCCCTTTCTGCCCCTCCTGCTGCTTTTGGGGCCGGGGTCGGGTGGCAGCAGGGGGGGCACAACCCCAGGGATGCCCCACACTGGTGCCCACCGTGCCCTGGAGTGTCCCCCCCCGAGCCACAGCTTCCCTTGGGCCTGGCACGACCCAGGGCACTTCTTACTGTGCCACGGGGACTTTTGGGGACAAGGAGGGCTTTTGCCAGCCCAGAGCAGACAGAGCTGGAGTGTGAGAAGAGGGGACTGTGCCAGGCAAGTTCCCTCCCTGCCCAGGGAACGGGGATTTGGCATCAGGAGCAGGAGGTTCCTGAGGGTGCTGGGGAAGGCTCTGAGGCAGAACCAGCCTTGGAAGTGCTGGTGGCAGCAAAGGGGCTGGGAATGGTCTGGAAATGCTTGGAGAAACGGCTGGGAAAAGGGACTGTCAGCAAAATCAGCTTCCATGGGGGCTGCACGAGCTGCATCATTCCTCGGGGAGAAAGGAATGAGAGGAGATGCCTCTCTCAGGGACAGAGAAATCCAGTGGACAGGGGTGGTCCTGGGCTGAGAAATCCAGTGGACAGGGGTGGTCCTGGGCTGAGAAATCCAGTGGACAGGGGTGGTCCTGGTCTACCTGAGCTCCCACTGCTCGTTGCTGTTCAGGGCAAAGGGATGCCCAAAGAGTTAGTCAGGAAAATGAGATTTTATCTGCACAGCCTCCAAGATTTCTGTCCTATTCCTGTTTTAGGATAAACTTCCTGCTCTTTGCATTGTCAGGACTATTTGCACTTAACACCCCCTGGAAAACCTCCTGGCCCCAGTGAATTCCAGCTGCTCCCTCACACCCCTGTGCAGACCTAAATCCAACCCAGCACTTCATTAATTAACAGTTGATGAGCTGGTGGAATAATTGTTACCCTCAGCCCTTTTCCTTGCTGCTGACCCCGTGGTTCTCCCTGGAATGACCTGCCTGGCTCTGCTGGCCACTGGAACCAGCTGGGGCGAGCGAGGAGTCTTTGGGGTGGGCACAGGGACATCAGGATCCCGAGGATTTGGGGGGTTTGGGGGTCTCGGGGCTCTCGGTGCCTCTGCCTTGGGGTGCTGGGATGGGCACAGCACTGGAGCCAGCTGGCAAAGGGAGCTCCAGAGGTTGGGAGTCCCATTCCTGGGATATTCCTTATCTCAGGGACATGGGATGTGCTGTGTGGATGTGAGGTTGGGGGGACAGACATCCCAAACAGCCCCTGGGACATCCCAAACAGCCCCTGGGACATCCCACCCAGCCCTTCTCCCCACCCAGGGCGAGTGCAGGGATTTCCTTGCTGCCAAGCTGGATTGTGGGGGCAAACTGGCTGCAGTTATCCAGGGAAAAACGAGCTAAAAGGATTAACTGGATATTTTATCAGCAGAATTTTCTCACCTTTTTTTTTTTTTTAAAAAAATGGAAAACAAGGCCTGTTTTGGTGTTTTTTCTCTGTCCTTTTTGGCAAACCTGTGGGGTGTTTGGAGCTGGCTGTGCAGCAGGAGAGCAGCTGGGATGTGTCAGGGTGTGCACAGCCCTGGACACGAGAGGGGATGGAGAATTTTTAGATGCCACCAGGTCAGGGCTGTGGGAGGGGGCAGTGGATGTTTCTGGAACCACCAGTTTGGAAGCAGAGTCTGTTTTGGAGCAGAAGGAAACAGCCAGGGGATTTATTTTTTTGGTTCTGATCCATCCAGAGGGATGAGTGAGACTTTGCTGGATGGCTGAGAGCTTCCAGCTGGAGCTTCCACACGTTCAGAGCCAGAGCAGAACTGGGAGAATTTCTGGCTGCTCCTTCTTAGAAACAGCAAAACATTTCTTAGTGATGCTGTGCTGAGGCAAAAAGTCTCTCAGCTGTGCAACGCTGTTGTTATGCTTGTTAAACAGGTGGGTAGGATACTAATTTATCTCCCTTATTTTTAATTGTCATCATTAATAAATGGCTCACAAAATTTGGCTTGCACTGCTGCTTTAGCTCTGCTAGTTCTGCCCTGGGCTCCCGAGCCAGCAGGGCTGTGGTAGGAGTGAGTCCTGCAGCCTGTTGGCTGACAAAAGCCCACAAAATAATATCCCACTGCCCTGATCGGATGGGAGAAGCTCGTGGATGTGGCTGGAGAGGTGGGAGCTGGGATAAACTCCAGCTCCAAGCCCAGCCCCTGGCTCTGCTGTGCCCCCCCAGAGCCCGGGATGGGTTGGGATACCCGGGAATGAGACCCTCTCCAGAGGCAGGGATGCAAAGGGCAGCGTCTGCCTGCCCAGAGAACCAACCCCTGTGGATCCAGCAAAGCTCTCCCTGCCCTGGTAATCCATTAATGGAATAACTGACTAACCCTCGGGGGTCCCCCTGGATGTCCCACAGTGGGATGTGTGGCTCTGGCTGGTGAGGAGTCCTTTCCAAGGCATGGATTAACTCCTGAGGCTGAGTTTCCCTTCCCTCGTGCCAGGCTGGGAACTCCAGCACAGCCCCTGTCCTCTCTCCCCCCTCCTTCTCCCCCTGGCACAGCTCTGGAGGCTTCCCAAAGAAACGTGGGCATCCCCAAACCCTCCTGGCACTGGGCACACCCGGCTGCCTCCTGCTCACTGAGCCAAAGAAGCTTTGGGGGCTCAGGAGAGGATTTGGGCTGCACCCCAAGCTCCTGCTCCTGCCCCGGGGGGGGCTCTGCCCACGGATCCCCCCCGGATTTGTAGTGTCCCTGTGCCAGCCCTGCCCATTCCACCCCCTTTCCTAATCTCATAACTTCCATCTCTGCTACTGCTGCTTTCAAACCCATCTCATCCTGTTTTGTCCTCACTGATCCAGATCTAGGTCAATAATTCCACTTATTAATGGAATTTATTCCATAAATAAATAATTTCCCCCCCTACAAAGCGAGATCTTCACCGTGTGTATCTGTAGAGAGTTGCCTCGTGTCTTCCCCTGATTTTCTCCTATTAAACTTCCCTGTCCAGTCCTGAAATGTGTCATTTTGGTGGCTGAGTTGTTCCTTTCCAAAGGGCACTGCCCTTCCAGGCCCTTGGTGAGGCTGGAGAAGCTCTTTGGTGCTGCTGGAGCCCCCCGGCAGCGCCGGGATGCTCCATGTTCCCGAAATCTCTGTGTCCAAGTGTCCCAGCTGCCTGAGTAAACCCTTCCTGTGACCACTTCGTCCTTCATCACGTGTTTGTCCATCAGTATTTCCCAGTCTCAGCCCATTTCAGCCCATGTCCTTGTGCCAGAGGCAGGGATGGGCAGGAAAGGTGGGAGCTGCTGGTGCAGGGACCATTCCCGCGGCTCAGCTCCCTCTGCCCACCCTCTGCTGCTTCTCTACCCCCCTGCCCGCCCAGCATCCTCTCTCCACCCTTTCATTTCTTCATTTAAACCCCTTTAGGAGCCCTCCTCTCCCCTCCAGGTGCATTTTTGGGGGAGTTCAGCCTCCCAGGTCGGCGGGGGGAGGCGAGACGTGTTTCTGGTCCCCCGAGGAGACTTTTTTTTTTAAAAGCCCTGTGTTTTGTTTCTTTTGTTTTTGTTTTCTCCTTCTCTCCCCTGCTGATTCCAGCCCGAGGGATCACGGAAACGACTCCCAGCTTCATGTATCCCTACGGGACCACCAGCAGCCAGATGGTGCTCCGAGGGGTGGATCTCCTGCTGGAGTGCATCGCGTCCGGAGTGTACGTACCCTGGGGGGGGGGACAGGGTCATTCCCAGTGGGATGAACCAGGACCAGGGTGCTGAATCACCATGGAAATACCTCTGTCTGGGAAAAAGGGCTCATTCCTCTCTTTTAACAAGGCTCTCATAACCTACTTGATGCACAAAAGCATCGAGGAAACGGAGAGCTGAGGTTTGCAGGTGTCTCCGGATACTTGTCCAAGGATAATTCCCCACTGGTTTCTCCTTAGATCTGTGGATCTCCTGGGAGCTCCTCACCACGCTGTGGGTGAGGAAGTTGTGGTCCATGAACGTCCTGGGCTCAGGATTCTACCCCAGTGCCCTGCTGGTCTGCCCATGGCAGGGGGTTGCAGTGGGATGGTCTTTAAGGACCCTTCCAACCCGGAGCATTCCAGGGTTCTCTGATCCTGCACCCCCCAAGCCATGAGGTGAACCAGGGGATCACCTGGTGGTGCTCAGGGTGAACCAGGGGATCACCTGGTGGTGCTTTAGGGGTGGTGGTCTGAAGGAGGGTGGCCCAGCAGCTGGCTCAGCCCTTCTCCCTGGCCGTGAGTGCTTCCCAGTGCAGGATCAGCAGCCGCTTTCTTCGGAGCCGTTTCCCTGCCTGGCAAAAGCACTGACCTGCTCCCCCTCTCCTCAGCCCAGCACCGGACATCATGTGGTACAAGAAAGGAGGGGAGCTCCCCGTGGGCAAAACCAAGCTGGAGAACTTCAACAAGGCCCTTCGCATCTCCAACGTGTCCGAGGAGGACTCCGGGGAGTATTTCTGCCTGGCCTCCAACAAGATGGGCAGCATCCGCCACACGATCTCGGTGAGAGTGAAGGGTACGTCACCTTTACCTTCCCATCTCGGGGACCCCCACGCCAGGAGCTGGGAGGGCACGGGAGGGGTGCTCTGGCTGCTGGGAGGGGCACTGGGGGCTTCCCAGAGGGGCTGGTTCTGTGCCATGTCCAGCCACCTGTGGGTCTTTGTAGAGTCGTGGAATGGTTTGGGTTGGAAGGGATGTTAAAGACTGTGCCATGGGCAGGGACACCTTCCTCTAGCCCAGGTTGCTCCGACCTGGTCTTGGACACTTCCAAGGATGGGGCAGCCACAGCTTCTCCGGGCAACCTGTGCCAGGGCCTCCCCACCCTCCCAGGGAGGAATTTCTCCCTCAGATCCCACCTAAACCACCTCGTCCAAACTGCCCCAAAAGCAGCGTGAGATGAGCTCTCAGCTGAACTTCACTGACATGAAGTGTGGGCTCCTGTGGCCAAAGAGGGGAGGGACCCTGAGCCCACCAGGGGAAACCCCCTGGAGAGGAGGGAATTCTCCTTGTCCCACATCTCCAGGGAGCAGCAGAGGGGGAGCTGGCAGGAGGGGGAGCTGCTGCCCGTGCAACTGGGACCCTGGGGTGTAACTGGGGCCCTGGGGTGTAACTGGGGCCCTGGGGTGTAACTGGGGCCCTGGGGTGCAACTGGGGCCCTGGGGTGCAACTGGGGCCCTGGGGTGCAACTGGGGCCCTGGGGTGTAACTGGGACCCTGGGGTGTAACTGGGGCCCTGGGGTGTAACTGGGACCCTGGGGTGTAACTGGGGCCCTGGGGTGTAACTGGGACCCTGGGGTGTAACTGGGGCCCTGGGGTGTAACTGGGACCCTGGGGTGTAACTGGGGCCCTGGGGTGTAACTGGGACCCTGGGGTGTTTTCCAGCTGCCCCATACTGGCTGGATGAACCCGAAAACCTCATCCTGGCCCCCGGGGAGGACGGGAGGCTGGTGTGCCGAGCCAACGGGAACCCCAAACCCTCCATCCAGTGGCTGGTGAACGGGGAGCCCATCGAAGGTGAGCTGGGGGGGCTGTGCCAGCCCCACCACAAACCCAGCCCAGGGTCCTGTGGCTGAGCCAAAGTTGCTGCTGGGGTGCCAGGCACTGCACGGGCTCCAGCCCCACACACTGGCCCTGCTGCTGGTTTAGGGTTGGTACTGCCAGTTTAGGGCAGTTTCTGTTAGTTTAGAGTCTTTACTGCTAGCTTAGGGTAGTTTCTGCTGGTTTAGGGTCTTCACTGCTAGTTTAGGGTGGTTTCTGCTAATTAGGGCTGTTGCTACTAGTTTAGACTAGTTTCTGCTAGTTTAGAGTCTTTACTGCTAGTTCAGGGCAGTTTCTGTTAGTTTAAAGTTTTTACTGCTAGTTTAGGGTTGTTCCTGCTAGTTTAGGGCTGTTCCTGCTAGTTTAGGGCTGTTCCTGCTAGTTTAGGGCTGTTTCTGCTAATTAGGGCCACTACTGCTAGTTTGGGGTGGTTTTTGCTGATTTACCAAACCTCACTGCTGGTTCAGGGCAGTGCCTGAGGTGAGTCCAAGCCGAACCACGGGCTCACCGTTGGGACCGGGGAGGTCATGAACCACCACTTGCTTTTCCCCGGGCCGGGCTGGGAGGACGTGTGGTGCTGTTGCCCGGCGAATTCTCGACTTAAAAACGGCCTTTAAATCAGAGTGCTCTGTTGTGTTGAAGCCTCTGCCCACAACCCGAGCCGGGAGGTGGCCGGGGACACCATCGTGTTCCGGGACACGCAGATCGGCAGCAGCGCCGTGTACCAGTGCAACGCCTCCAACGAGCACGGCTACCTGCTGGCCAACGCCTTCGTCAGCGTGCTGGGTGAGCACCACCCCCTGCACTCGCTTGTCACACAGCCCAAGCCTGCTCTGGCTTGGGAGGGACCTGAAAGACCACCCAGTCCCACCCTGCTGTCACCGCCCGCTAGCCCGGGTGGCTCCACGTTTATCCAGCCTGGCCTTGGACACTTCCAGGGATGGGGCAGCCTCTGATTCTGTGGGCAACCTGTGCCAGGGCCTCCCCACCCTCACAGGGAACAATTTTTTCCTAATATCCAATGTTTATCCAATCTCTCCTATTTAAAACCATTCCCCCTTGTCCTATCACCACCTGCCCATGTGAAAGGTATTCTCCCTCTTTTACAATCCCCCTTTTCCCTGCAGAAGTTCTCCGTTTGCTTTCCTCTCTGTCATTAGCTGCTCCACAGAGGTTCCTGACCTCTGCAGCTGGGCTTTGGAGCAGAAATCCATTGCCCTGGACCTGCCAAGTCCCAGGACACGAGCTGAGTCCTGCAGCCAGGCTGGAAGGGAGGGGGAGAGGAGAGGAGAGGGACTGGAGAAGCTCCACCGGGTTTTGAAAGCGCCAGTGGGAAAAACGAACAAAAGAAACGGGAGGGTGGATGGAAAGGCTGGAAAGGAGCAGCAGGACCTGGTTTCTCGTCCCTCTCCATGGCTGTGCTCTGTGCTGTTTGCAGACGTGCCCCCCCGGATCCTGGCCCCCCGCAACCAGCTCATCAGGGTCATCCAGAACAACCGCACCCGGCTCGACTGCCCCTTCTTCGGCTCCCCCATCCCCACCCTGCGATGGTAAGAGCTGCAGCACTGCCCCTGCCAGGCCGAGGGCTGGGGAGAGCGGGGGGGGTTCCTGCTCTTTCTTCCCTTCCAACAGCACTTTGTGGTGTTGTGAGGTTTAAGAACGGCCAGGGGAACACGCTGGACGGAGGGAACTACAAGGCCCACGAGAACGGGAGCTTGGAGATGTTCATGGCTCGGAAGGAGGACCAGGGCATCTACACCTGCGTGGCCACCAACATCCTGGGCAAAGCAGAGGCCCAGGTTCGCCTGGAGGTCAAAGGTAGGGACGTGAAAGGCTCTGGGATCTTCTGGAACTTGCAGCAGAAATAACGATTTCGGGTCAGGGAGGTTGGTGGTGGTGCACCCAAGTCTGTCAGCAGGACAGGCACTGTGTGACTCAAAGCTGGAATCTGGAAAATGGTACAAATTCCTTTTTAGTGCTGGAAGAAAACAAGGCTGGGGATGTACTGGAGCTGCAGAAGGGCTTGGTGTGGGTTCTGGGAGATGCCATCAGCAGTGCAAACAGCAAAGCAAAGTGTTCTCAGGGTTAACCGAGGACAGGAAAACATTTTCTGGATTGTTTCTGCCAGGGCTCTCCCTGTTCAGCAAATGTGACTGCTGACTCAGAAAACTGGGGGTTTTTTAGAGGTTCAGCGTGAATTAATGGCTTGGTGAATTAATTTAGTTGCATCCTAGGCCATTCATCCACCAAGCTGGACAAACATGTGTGTCCTTTCCAAGCACCACCAAGTCCCCACCGAGCTCCTGAGCCAAGAGCCAGGGATTTGGTGCCTGACACTTCCTTTGTGCCCCCGTGCAGACCCCACCAGGATTGTGAGAGGGCCCGAGGACCAGGTGGTGAAGAGGGGCTCCATGCCTCGCCTGCACTGCCGCATCAAGCACGACCCCACGCTGAGGCTCACGGTCACCTGGCTCAAGGATGATGCCCCCCTGTACCTGGGAAGCAGGTCTGTGTTGCCAGAAGTTTCACGGATCTTCCCTCCCAGGATTGCTGGGAACATTTTTACAGAACGTTTCAGGATAATGTGGATAAATACCGAGTTCCCATCTAGGCAGCCTTTGACGTTCTTGACACTTTTAATTTGCCAGCTCCTTCCAACAGACACTGCTCGGCAATTGCAGCTGATTTATCAGTAAATCAGGACCTTGCTGTGGGTTTTATTCACAGATATTTTAGGACATCTTGATAAAAGGGGCGAGTTAATAACAACCCACCTCAAAATTAACGTTTATCTGCCGTGCCTGGGGCAGCTTTAATTTCCTTCCCATGGCTCACTCCCTCCTTGGGAAGGGAGATCTGATCCTGGGCCACCAGCCTGAGCTTGGCTGTTGTCCTGAAGGTGTGATTATTCCCCAGACACACTCCAGGGCACATCTGCTGATTCCTTAGGAAATGAGGTTTCCCAGAATAGCTCAACACTCCTCAGCTGATCAAACCCTCAGAGCAGAGCCATCCTCCTGCTCTGGTCGGGCTCGGAGCTGTGTCCTGGCAGAGAACACTCAGCCCTCGGTGCTGCTGCCTGGAACAGGCGTGTGGTTCTTGCTTTTCTTGAAGGATGAAGAAAGAAGACGATGGTCTGACGATATTTGGCGTGGCTGAGAGGGACCAGGGGGATTACACGTGCGTGGCCAGCACGGAGCTGGACAAGGACTCGGCCAAGGCCTATCTCACCGTGCTCGGTAAAGCTGCCCCGTTTTTAGCAGGACAGACCCCCTTCGAGGTCAGGCTGAGAGGTCTCTGCTCACCGGGGTGTCCCCTGGGTGCTCAGGGAGGTGCTGGCAGGGCAGCAGTTCCCTCACAGGACTCGGCAAGGACACTCTGCCTCGTCCCGGGCGCCGGCGCTGAACTGGAGCCCAAAAAAAAAACCCCTCGTGTTTGAGAGCGAAAAAATAGGAGAGTGGTTATTACACACGGCCAAAAATATCCCAGTGTGGATGCTGGAGCTCTGTGGGAACAGTCCTAAATTTGGAAGTGAATTTAAGGGGGTGTTGGGGTGCTGAGCAATGGGGAGTTGGGGGTGACCCAGCTGGGGGGGATCCTGGCCCTGCGTGTCCCCTCGGCAGCACAGGCAGGGACAGACCTGAGCCCACTCCCCACCTGTGCTCGCTGTGAACCCACTTGGAAAACACAGATTTATCATGCCCTGCTCTGGGCCACCTCAGATTCCCGGGAATGCCACGACCTGCCAGTGCCCTCCAAGAGCTGGAGTGCACCAGGACCCCCAGATCCCTGATAATTCCACTGGGCTTGATTTCCACCCCTTCCCGTCCCCCTAATAGCTCATTAACCCCACACCAGGCTGATGTTTCCCCTTTACAAACACGAACAGAGCTGTGAGGGCACGGCTGCAGGTGTCTGGGGGAAGGATGTCCCTGCTCTGCTCCCCACACGGGATCGATTCCTTCCCAAACCCGTAACTGTGTGTGTGATTTCACATTTGCCAGGTGCTCCTTTGGCCACCCAAGCTTAATGACTAAACTAACCCGGTTAACAACCACTGTCTTACCTTGCAGCCGTCCCTGCTAACCGTGTGAGAGAGTTACCCAAAGGTAATCAGCACTAATTTGTTGCCTTTCTTTTGTTTCCTGAGTTGATTTTGGTTTGCCTCGCCAGTAACGCCAGCAGGAAAGCGTCAGAGCTGAAAAATCTGGGAGCTGATGCTTCCAAGTCCTCTCCGAGTTGTCCTTCAAAACCCAGCCAGATGGCCGTGGGTAGGAAGGTCCTTTGCCACGACATTTTGTGCCCCAAAGTGCCCCTTTGGGACGCTCTCCTGAGGGAAAGTGGAAAAAAAAAAAATCACTTTACCTGCGCTTGAAAATGCTGAGCCCTGACGGGAGAAAAAAATTCACCTTGAATTTCTGAGCCCTTGACCTTTGCCTGGACAGAATTTATTCCTGTTATTGCACGAGCAGGTTCTGGTGAAGGGATAAAGAAACCGGAGTTGCGTTCAGGGAATTTCCAACAAGTTTATGTTTTTGTTGAGGTTTTGTTTCCCTTCCACCCTATTTGTTTGTTTGCATTCCTGTTCCGGACAGCTCTGTGTAAGGTCAAACAACCCCCTGCTGAGCCACTCCCTGGTGCTTCCACCCCCAGTGGTGCAGGGACAGGGAGGGTTTAAAGGCAAGGAATAATTAGCACCGGTCCTGAGAGCTGCAGGGTGGGCTCAGTGCCCCAGAGCACTGGGTCTGGGTGAAAAGCAATGGGAAAACTGGGAATCCCAGCTCCTGGGACAATCCCAGCCCTCACTTGTGTCATTCCTGGGCCGACAGCACGGCCCGACCAGCCCCGTGACCTGGAGCTGACGGACCTGGCGGAGCGGAGCGTGCGGCTCACCTGGATCCCCGGGGACGACAACAACAGCCCCATCACAGGTCTGGCTGGTCCCACTGCCCCCTGTGAGCCCAGCCCTTCACCCAGCCCTTTACTGAGCCCTTCACCCAGCCCTTCACCCAGCCCTTCACCCAGCCCTTCACCCAGCCCTTCACCCAGCCCTTCACCC